AACTGGAACTCAACCTGAAAGGAAAATTCAGAGTATCACAATGCGGCTGACTGTTCCGCCAACCAGGTTACCATGAAATATCTTTGATGTTTTAAGAGGCTTTACAAGTACTTGGAGACCAATGGATTCGGAAAAGAGTTTATATTCTAAACAATATTTTACGTAGCACCAAAGTAAAACGAGAGAATATAAAACACAAGCCCAACACGCAGCAGTGTCCACTGTGAAAAATGATTCTGTCCTTCCTGCCATCATCACTTGATAAGGTACACGATGTAAACATTTGATTAGATTGTACCTGATGGCATTTTTATTTCCCGAACATTCTCTTCCAGCAGTAAAAGTGGTATATTTAAATTATGGCTGGATTGCATCCTTTCAGCCAACAGCAGGCATTTATTCATTTATTTTAACTTTTATTTATCAAAATTTGCACACACTAAAATGGTCGGCACTGTGAGCAGGCACGGGGCTCTGAGCATTGTCACTACATGTAATCCCCACCTTCCTCTTGCGCTTCTCAATGTCCTTCTCCTCCAGCTGACCTGGTACAAGCCACCTTTAGGTGCACACATCTTCCTCTCCACCCTCTTAACTCAGAGCAAGGAACCCATGTCCTAGAGACCTTCCTGGGCTCCCAGCAGGAAGGTTCATGGCTGGTGGGGTGTCTGATGGATCCCCCAAGGGCAGGCATGAGCAGAAGGAGGAGCTTGGGATCTGTTCAGACCAGCAGCAAAACAACACAATCAACAGTGCTGTTGAACAAGCACTTGAATCATAGAATCACAGAATCACAGGATGGGCTGGGTTGGAAGGGACCTTAAAGCCCATCCAGTGCCACCCCCTGCCATGGGCAGGGACACCTCCCACCAGCCCAGGTTGCCCAAAGCCTCATCCAGCCTGGCCTTGGACCCCTCCAGGGATGGGGCATCCACAGCTTCTCTGGGCACCCTGGGCCACTGCCTCACCCCCCGCACAGGAAAAAACTTCTTCCTAAAGTCACTATGAGCCAGCACAGGTCTCTTAACAGCCCCATCCATGCCTCCTCTGCCCTGCTCAGCATCCCTCTCCCACTCGCAGCAAATCCCACCTGGGAAATGAACTAGTTAAGCACTGGCAGTGCTGCTTTGCCAGGCAGATTCTCTATGGTTAGCCCAGTCCTCCCAGTAAACTGCTCACATCATTTAAACCCGCGTCCTGAACTCATCAAATGGTCTTCCCCATGCAAAAACCCATCCAGTATGGGGAAGGAAAATATAGAAGGATAAATGCCATTCTCTGAAGGGCTCATCCATCGACCACATTATAGATGATAGCAGACTCAAAAGAGGTTAAGAAACAGGATAAGAAACAGGCAGAATGTCCCTGCAAAGGGCATGGAGGAGCTGGCCACACAGCAAACCAGGCTCTTCGGTGCTGCCTGCTCCTCTCTGGGGCAGAGACCCCAGGATAGCATCCATGGGTCCTGGGAACATCTCAGCTCTCTGAATGCTGTCTCTGCTCGCACAGCTCCTGGGGAGCATGGACCGGGCTCTGCTGGTGACTTATCTGCAACAGCCTTCCCTCAGCTCTGTCCCTAGCATCACAACCAGCTTCATCCTTCTTTTTTTTCCATGGGGAAAGGCAGAAAGAGTGAGAAATGAAGGCAAGCACTTTACAAAGCGGTCTCTTCCTCTTTCTTCCCCCAGATGTCTTCTCTAATCTCCCAGGGGAGGTGGACGCCACAGTGACAACAGCGGCCAAGGCTCACTGCAGGTGTTCAGCTCTTCTTGCTGCTTTTGGTCTACTTCCATGATCCTAATTAATCCCTCCAAAAAATAAGCTAGCAGCACTCACAAAATGTTCCAAACAATAAAGATCAAAGGCAGTAAACCCCAGCGGTTGTGATGAGTGCCAACACACCTAAGGGAAACCACCACCAGTTAATAATAGTAATATAGCAAAGGATATGAGGTTTATTGACCAAATCAGACATTGCTTGTCTTTCATTACTACAGCATCCTCAGAATCTCGTCTCCAAAGCCTCTAGGGTGGGAAGGGTTATCTCTATATCACAGAAAGGGAACTGAGACAAAAAAACCCTCCCAGATGCGTTCCTTAGCACAGGCTCTGCTGCTTTCTGTGGATGCGTAGCTCTCCATAGCCACGCAGGGAGCAGAGGTACCTAACTTTTGGATGGTTAAAACTGTCCCTTAAATTCCTCTCCAAGGTCCACTCAATTAGACCTGAAAGCAAATATCATCTTTGCTGCATTTAGCTGGTGAGCAATCACTTCAGGACATGACAAGGACTCCCATTAGAATCTTTAGAATTTGATGGTAAACATGAAAAAATCAAAGAGTTTTACACCACAACTTGTGGCCAAACTGTGCCAAAGCACAGAAACCAGCCATTTTCCTGGAGAACTCAGTCTGGGATCCTGACATCCCTGAGCATGGGATTAAAGAGATGGCAGGGCAAAAGAGAGGGGAAAAAAACCCAAAACCCAAAAAGAACCAAAACCAAAAAAACCCTGTTAAAACTGGTTGGATGAACTGAGAGTGGGTCAAATTAAAAAATGCCTTGATCTTTGTATCCTTAATTTTTCTTTAGTTTGAGTGGAAAGATATGACCTAGAGCAGTAGTTCCACTATTAGAGTAGAAAAGATAGAGTAATACACAACTTTGGTGGGACAGAAGGTCCTACTGCCACAAGCAGAAACCCTTCTGACACCCCAGAGAATGGGAACATACCCAGCTACCAACATCTGCCAATGTATCTGCTCACATACCCACGCACTATATACAAAGTGCAATCAATGGGTTATTACAGAAATAAAAGTGTTTCATTACATATCTTTCCCTGTTTATAACTGAAAGAAGCATCTAAAATAAATATTACAAAATTACTGAAAAGATCTGATTTTTATGACAATTGAGTAAATGCTGTGGTAGTTATGGAAATAATGCTGAAGTCGATGGGAACACATGTACACAAGAAAAACAATCAAAGCATTACATAATATCTGCCTTGTCCATTCATCTCCAGATTGTCACTTGCTAGGATCTGAATAAAGTGGGTAGAAATCTGAACAAGAACAGATTAAAGAAAACTCTGGAAATACCTGTTCTACTCCTGCCTATTATAACCACTTTCGCGTTGTGTCTCTCATCTCTTTCAGAGTACGTGAACCACTGCACCTAACACAGCCCGAAAAATACACAAAATCAGAGCTTTTTTCTGCCAGCAAAATATTGTAAAATAATAGCAACGGAGGCAATGCATTCACCAGCCTTTGGAGGTCAGTGGGAGTCATCCCACTGGGTCCCCCAGAGACCAGCTCAGGTCCTGAAGAAGTGCAGCTGGTGGGAAGTCCTCATCCACGTCCTGGGAAACGTTCCCCAAGACCCAGGCTCAGCTCCTCCTGCCTCTAACATGGAACACACGATCACCTCCCCGCTGAAGAAAATAACAGCACCTGCTTAAAAGCTTTGAAATGGAGACCAGGATAAACCAGGATAAATGAGATGCTGTCCTGGCAGCAACTACAACCATCAGTGTGTGATCAGCTTCTCCTCAACATCACCAGGGAAAGACAGACCTCCTTGGAGAATGATCTAACTCCATGCCCTTTTCTGCAGTTTCTAGAGAAGGAGCCAAAGACCCCTCTGCTCCCAGCTTAGACACATGGCTGCAGGTGGGATGGGGCCAGTCCTTCTGCAGATGAACCCAAAATGAGAAGAAGCCCAACCAAGAAGGCTCCATCTTCCTGCAGGCATGATCTCAGGATGCTCTCGGTGTCACTGATCCAGCGGCTGCTGGCTGGGACAGAAGGATGCTCTGATAAGAAGCTGTGCCACCACACCAATGAATAGCTCTGACGAAAGCGCTGCAGATACTACAACATGTAATCAAGTGCATAAATAATTTGTTATACAACAGACCTCGGAAAAACCCAATCAGTTCATTATTAGTAATAACTATGTCTATTGCAGCATCCCATCCCCGGGGGCCACAAAAGAGGTCAGTTGTGCTGAACACAGAACACTGGTAAAAAAGCAAATCTGCCAGAGTATTTGGGCATCTGAAAGCGGAATAAATGAGGGCTGCACAAGTCGCTAAAGTGAAAACAGTGTAAATAAATACCAATATTGCAACAGACACACGAAAAAGTCATTTAGTGAACATCTTTATCAGATTCACAGCAACAAAGAATGGCTCATTATTCCCCATAAACCATATCAAACCAGACATTTCATTTTCCAATAATAAACACTGAGCATTTCCAAAACAATTTGTTTTCCCTTATGTTTTCCTACCCATTCCTGATGCTGATGGTTCGCATTCAGAGGCAGAGCAGACTATGCAGGTCTGCATGCAGATCAGATAAGATGGAACAGCTCTTTTTCTCATTTTTTGTCTTCTTGTTTTACACAGTATCAATAAATGAGATCAGTATCAGATCTGCATTTATAGAAACATATCCTCCCATCTCACATGCTTGTTCCTCTGTTAAGAAATTTAAAGCTTGGCTTTGGGAAAAAAAAATATTTCCCACACTTTTTTTTTTTTTTAATATAAATAGGACTCCCATGTCATATGTACTTCTATGTTTATATTAAAATCATGGATTCAGGGAACTACAGAGCCAAACAACACAGCGTCAAAAAATGTAACAATTGTATATTTAGAGGAGGAAATAAATCAACTTCTTTTTCTTGGAAAAACCACATGGAAAGAAAATAAAGGTCTACTCACACTGTACAATGAGCTGTACCAAAGCTTCTCTGGGTTTCACATTAAACCCATTGTATTGGCTCGTCTGGCATCTGTAGGTTCCCGTCATCTCCCTGGACACGTTCACTATCCTCAGGATCCCATCGTAGCTCTCCGTCTGCATCGCCCCGTCCGGCATCGCCACCTCCTTGTCCGCTCGGGACCAGAGAATGATGGGCTTGGGCTTCCCCGTCACCTGGCACTGCAGCTCGATCGTGTCCCCTTCCCGGGTCACCAGGGGTGACTTTTCTTGAGGAACAGTCAGATTGGGTGGGACTTCAAAGGGGAAAAAAAGAGATGGTTCAACAATTAGCATTACAGAAACATCAGGTACCTTTCTTGCTCGTACAGTCATCATTATCTATCAAAAACCAATTTATACATGGGCAGCAATGCATATTGATTGCATTTATTGGAAGTCTGTGGAATACTACTATATTTAGAGACAAAGTGCTCAGCTGCTCAAAGTGCTTAAAATAAGATTTAACAGCCCCAGCTTTGACACTTATTTGCCTCCCTGTGTCTCTGACATGCCAATACACCGTACCAGTGTACACCAGTGCGTTCAGACCACTGGTAGCAGATCACCACAAGTTATGGCTTTCCTCTGTATGAGTATTTGGCACTAAGAACCTTTTTTCAATTTTTTTTTTTTTTTTTTTTTTTTAATAACAGACTGGCTGCTGATTTTATCCAGCTCATAACGGCTGCACAATGAGGAAGAATCGTGCCAGTTCGGAAATCAGCTCAGAACTCAAGACCTGAAACCAAAATGCAACTGGTGTCTTTCTATCCGAGGAGGTTTATCAAAGTGGTATTTTTTATTCAGAGAGATTTGCATTAATGAATCTGGAAGGAATATGTGAACACCTGTTTCCAGCAGGAGTTAGACATTCCCTTGGAGCAGGAACACTTGGCACTGCCGCGCAGCAAGCTGGCGATGCCCAAGGACCCATCCTGCCTGCTCTCCGCAGTCTTGCATGACTGAGACTTTCCGATCCCCTGCAGCGCCTCTCCGAGCTATCAGCCACCATTCTGAATCACCAAATCTCTGCAGCAAGAAGAGCTCGTTTGCCATGGAAGAGATGCTGCTGTGCAAAATGCTTGATCAGAGCAGAACGGGGTGGTCCCCTGGCAAAGGCATTGGTGTTTGCACAACAGGCATCCATGGGAGCTCCCACCATTGGTCCCACCAGGGCGGCCCCTCTGCCTCAGTCATTTAGGTGACAGTGGTTGATAATAACAAAGCGCTGCAAGCACTGCTGGCCTGGCGAGAATGGTTTTGCCATGTTGTGATGGTTTTGCCACGGCTGGGAGGCAACCCCACACAGCCGCTCGCTCACCCTCCCCCCTCCCAGGAATGGGGAAATAATCAAAGGGATGAAAGGAAAAGAGACTCGTGGGGTGAGATAAGAGCAATTTAATAACTAAACTACAATAATACTGGAAATAATAATAATGATGATAATAGCAGTGATATATACAAATGAGTGACACACAGTGACACTGCTCACCACGCCAGGACCAAGGCTCAGCCCGTTCCCAGCCAACGATCCCAGAGCAGGGAGAGTCCCGAAACCACAACCCCAGAACGGAGATAAGAGCCCGAGTGTCCGAGAGACCGAGACGACCCTGAGAGAGGGGCGACCCGGAGGGAGCCAACCCGGAGCAAGAGAGAGCCCTCCTGGGAGCATCACCTCTTCATGTTGTCCTGCCCTCAACTCTTTGCTTTAAATGCCAGGACTGACGAAATACAGCCTGCACCATAACTCCTGTCTGCAGGAAAAAATCATTAAAAGCTATTTTCAGGCCTTCAGAGACAGAAACAACATACTTGTACTGGTGAGAAACAGTCCGCTTTCCTCCAGGATCTACCGCATGTCTATGGACCTGAAATAGGTGGTAGGAAGCAGAGTTTAAATCAGGGACTGTCACAGGTACCAAAATGCTGTTCTCAGCTGCTTTGAGGGCTTTAATAGCTCCTGAATCTGGGGGGACATGCAAAAGTGGAAATAAGTTTTTCCACAAGAGAGCAAAGGAAAAAATATTTTATACTTCAAAAAAGAAGAAGAAAAAAAACAAAACCAAAGAGACTGCTTAATAAGACATTCCCAACATTAATAAAACATTCCTATTTTTCACTTATGCCCATGTGTGCCATAGCAGGTCCTGAACACAGGCCAGTGCCCAGGAGACCTGGACCACTTGGAGAGAACCCAGAGGAGAACCACCCCCTGAAGATTCCCAACAGCCCCATGGAGCAGGACATGAGATGGGCCACCCCAGTGAAGGGAGGGTGGTACCAAACCATGATGGCAGTCTTGTCAGAGCTCTACCAGAGCTCCGAGAACAAAATGAAAGCATGAACTAAACGGGGAAAAAGCCACTGTTTCAAGAAGGAAAAGAGCGTTTAAAGAGAAAGGTTTGAAAGCACACTGTGCACTGCCTGCCTACAGGAAGAAGCTTCCTCCTATTTTTTCCAGATCACCTGGCTTGTGGCTTCTCAGCTGAGTTTAAATAACACACAGCTCTGCCTGGATCAGCAAAAAAAACATTGACTTTGTCCCTTCCTGCCTGCACAGTGGATCTGCTCCCCGCTGTGCGTGTGCTTTGATCACAGCATGTCCCAGTTGGTAGGGATGCTGCAGGCTCCTCGGAGCTCTCCTCTCGCTCCCTGCCCCTCCGGCACCTCCGGCTGCAACCTTCTCCCATCTCAGGGATTCACTGGCCGTGAGAACCCTGAGGCCAAAACTATAGGGTCAATGCCCTCAAACAAAATGCCTGCTGTCAAGAGGAAGGAAAAGAAAAAAAAAAAAAAAAAAGGTCTGCTATCGGCTATATACCAGTCTACGGTGCTATCTAGAGCTCTGCTGCAACCCCACAGCCCAGATGGCTCCAGGACATGAGTTCTCCCTTTGGTGGTTGTCCGTGCAGACCTATTTCTGAACACGTTGTGCTGGCAGCTTGTCCCGCACTCCAGCTTTTCCAGACCGTCATCAGAGCAACAGGTCTGGACTATAAAATCACTCTTAGCCTCAGAAATCACCCACTTTCCAGCTGGGGCAAGGGCTGGAACTTCTCATCTCAAGCACTGCGGCAGGACCAAGACTTGCCTTTGTCACAGCAAGTGGTCCTGTGCAAACGCTGCCCATGAAGGTGACACTGATGGAAGAAACAGCAAAAAAGAGAGAGGGAGCAGCAAACCCAGCTTCATGCGTGGAGGCTGAAAGAGGGGAGATTGAGATGAGATGTGAGGAAGAAATGTTTTCCTGTGCAGGGGGTGAGGCAGTGGCCCAGGGTGCCCAGAGAAGCTGTGGATGCCCCATCCCTGGAGGGGTTCAAGGCCAGGCTGGATGAGGCTTTGGGAAACCTGGGCTGGTGGGAGGTGTCCCTGCCCATGGCAGGGGGTGGCACTGGATGGGCTTTAAGGTCCTTCCAACCCAAACCATCCTGTGATTCTATGGTATGATTCTATGAGGCTGACGTGACCCTGCACTTGAAAACAGGGATTGGACACAAATAAATTGAGGAGCTGTTCTGTTCCCCAGATATCCACAACGTTGTTCTGGTTTAAGAAACTCCTTCACTAAACTTTTCACGGGAAGAGTAAACAGAAAAGTTCAGTGTGTCCACGAGGTGGAACTAGAGAGGAAGGAGGGCAGGGATGTAGGAGTGCAGCTGGGCGCTCCCAAAGACTTGCTTCCCATGAGAGACAGGGGAAATCCAGAAATTCAGACACTCTGAGTAAACTATGAATCATATAAGGAAAAAACCAGGAAAGAATAGACCTCGCTTCACATCATCATGCCTAGCCTCTTGGAGGCATTTGAGAGGAAAGAGAGTGGATGGCATAGGACAAGCATCTCTGGGGAAGGGAAAAAAAAAAAAAGGAAAAAAAAAAAAAAAAAAAGGAAAAAAAAAAGGAAAAAAGGGGAAAAAAAAAAATGCATGCCAAAAAGGTCCCGTGCAGATGCACACAAGTCATTTACACATTTACCCTCTCTTTAACTCCGTTTTCCTTCTGAAAGATAGAGATAATAGTACTGCAGAAACTGCACACTGCCAAGATAAGGACCAGAGACTGCGAGGTCTGCAGGCAGGCTGATAAGATAGGCTGTATCAGTCCCCCAGATGGAGAGATACCCTCAAATGCCCTGACTCTCATCTTCTCCCCTGGCATTTCGCAACCCAACCAGTATCTGTCAGGTTGTAAGCCAGCCAATACATTATTATGGTTTACTGTATTTGTTAATGGTCTTGTTACTGGAAACAGAGAAGAAGAGAGGTGGGACAAGGCCATCTATTGAAACAAATCATTTCCTGGGCAGTGCCATCAATAAGAAGCCTGGCTGCAGCTTTCCTGTATCACATTTGACTGACAGTGCCCAAGACAGGGAGCTCTCACAAAGCACTTCCCTCCCCGCCCCCCACAGCAGCTTTGGCTACGGGTCCCCTTAACTGGGATGCTGATTCTCTCCTGTCTAATTAGGCAGAAGGACAGCACTGAATGTCTGCTCAGGGAGGGGTTTGGTAGGGTTTCCTTTTCTATACCCATCTTTTTTATTTTTAGAAATTCGCAGGTATTTAATTATCTCCGAGATGTCTATTCCACTGTCAAATTTGGCTTAAATTAGCGACAGGGTCAAAAAAATATCCGAGGGTGTGGGGGATTGCGACACAGCAACCAACAGGCACTGGCAGCCTGATCCCACAGGACTTGTTTCCATAAGCAATAAAGCTAAAAAATGCCAGAAAGGAAACTCAGATCAATGCAATGCCCACAGAGAAATCAGGAAGATTGTGAGGAGAGGAGAGCTATAGAATTGAGGAGAAAATAATAGTTCCAAGTTTTTCTTCCCTGACTACAACCCAAGATGTGGGGAAGCCTGAGGATGTGGGACCAGGTGGCTGAGCCTGCTGTGCAGAGGGCGGTCCAGCAAGTCTGAGTAAGCCAGGGTGGAGAATCATGGAGTCATTTAGGTTGGAAAAGACCCTTAAGATCATCGAGTCCAACCATTAACCCATCACTGCCAAGTTCCTCACCAAACCGTGTCCCTAAGCACCACATCCACAGGTCTTTTAAATCCCTTCAGGGTTGGTGACTCCACCACTTCCCTGGACAGCCTGTTCCAATGCTTGACAACCCTTTTGGTGAAGACATTTTTCCTAATATCCAGTCTAAACCTCTCCTAGTGCAACCTGAGGCCCTTTCCTCTCATCCTACCCCTGGTTACTAGAAGCAAGGATGCCCGAGCTGGTGCACAAGCCAAGATGAA